CCCCCCCCCAAATAATTTTTCCCCCCCTCAAAAAAAAATATTAGTCACTAGAGCGACTAAAGGCTACACAAGCGTTCTGTCGTTATCGGAAAATGTATGGCTTATAAGTTGTCATTACTCATTAGTGAATGCGCATATACATATGAAACTGTTTTTTACAGTTTCAATATTAGTTTGTAAATCTCTGAATGGTAAAACTTGCCAATACTCCAATAACACGTTTCAAAAAAAGCTTTAGTTTTGCAGAGTTAAATTCTCAAACGTATAAGGCAATATAATAAGATGAAAGTATCACGAAATTATTTGAATAAACCACATCGCATATATGGGGGGCGAATGTCCTAAAGAGGGACGATATTCCTAGGGTATTCGCCCCACCCCCCTGGGAGGAATATCGCCACGTTTTGAGGGGGGGGGGCGAATTTCCTGGGGGGGAAATTCGCCCCGACTTTGCCCCTTTGCCCCTCAAATGCCCCCCCAAATTTGGAAGCCTGGCGCCGCCACTGGATAGCCCATTCAGTTTAATGATCTCATTCAGTGAGACACCCCCCTGTCCCGGGAAAATGCAGGTCTTAGTTTGAATTGTGCATTTGTTTACACTTTCAACAAAATTTTCGCATAGGTAACTTCTAAGTTTTCAAGGATTCGTCACAGCTGTTTCAACCAGGGTTAAATTAAACGAGCTGAAACTTGAAACTGCATCACGTCTCACGATTTACATGAGCAGTTTGAGCCCGGGCTGAGATTAGTCAGAGCTATATTTATAGTCAAACCCGGGCTAAAATGTCAGCCCGAGCTTAAATAATCTGAGTGTCAGGAAATAGGACAATATGAAGCCTGTTACGCTTCTTTGAAGCAATCAGACGATGATTATGACTACTTGACTTGTGTAAACAGACACGCAAAATAAAACCATTTAATTAAACATTTAATAAATTAAAATTTATTTAAAGGGAAGTCAAGTCCGTTCTGCGCATCGGTTCTGCGCATAACAATAGAGGGCCCTCTGAGGTAAACATTGCCCAAATTTTGAATGTTTCGAATTTTTCTGAACACAAACTCTATTTCATATTCATGTAGAAGCATAACGAACCAAAATGGTGTCAGATATTCAGACAGTACATCATATTTTAAAAAATACAGCAGTTCAAAATGTAAACAAACCGTTTGTTTACATTACGGACTTGACTTCCCCTTTAACAAACAAAACATAAAAAATACGTGACAGCATATGTGACTAACTGAACTAATACGTGACGGGATATGGACTGATTTCACGAATCATTATGTAATTAACTGTACAATGCTGCAGAGATTCTAGACAACACTCTGGATTTTCAAATTTTTCCGGCAAGGAACATCAGATTACTTTGCAACAGTTCGAACTTTGCCCGGGGAAAAAGACAGGATACAGTTCTCTGTATTTAAAAGAAAATTCAATTTCACATGCAGGTTACAACAAATCAACCTATATGTCAGAGCTTCATGTCTTCCTGTTCGACTTTCTATCCTTTATCAGTTCACCAAAATACGCCGTGATCGTCTTCACTCTTCTGTTCAAAAGATTCTGTTCAATTTCAACCTTCCCACCGATATCCGCTAGCGAGGTTAACTGCTCAATGTTCGTATTCTTTGGCACAAAATACGCAATATTTTCAGAGATTTCTCTGCTTAGTTCGAACACCTTAAATCCATCCATCGGGATCATAGTTTGGAGATCAAAGACAGCTGCATCCGAATAAGCTGGACCACCCCAGGGTGGACTCAAGAAGACCACATCAGCACAGAGCGTCGGAGCAAGCTTCATGTAGTCACCCACAATAAACTCAATTCTATTCTCCACACCATAAATCCTAGCATTATATCTGGCTAGTTCCACTTTCACGGGGTCAATATCGATTGCTATTACCCGCTCACAAGTGAATGCAAATTGTATGGAGTTTCCACCAACGCCGCAGAATGCATCGATGATCAGATCACAGCGACATCTATGCGCAATATGCTTCGCAATCCGTTCAGGCGTGACTGAAAACCAAGCCTCGTCATCCATCTTAATTCCCTCGTCATAGCGGGAGAACAAACGATATCGTTGATGCCAATACTTTGCCAAACTTTGGTCTGGAGGATTGCTTTTGTTTTCAGTTTTGTCCAAGCACTTTTCTCCGCTTTCTTCTGCAGTCTCGTCAAAGTGCAAGTTCTGAGTTGTTTTATCAGAACACGCATGGTCAAGAGTATTTTGAGAGTCAGGCATGACACCGCTGTGATTATGATGCTCACACGCTGTAAGCTGAAGCGAATTTGAGTTTGGACCATCCACGCAATTTTGAACCTCGTCGGTAACTTTGCCTACAGGAAAGATAACTTCATCACATTCTTCAGATGGGGTGAAATCATGGTCACAGGCAGAAATTTCAGAATTACCAACAAACTCGTAGAGGCTCCCTTTAGAAGGTGTTTGTTCAACAGGAAGTTGACCAAAGTCAATAGAGACCTCGTTTACCTGAACAGTAGTTACCTCATACATTTTACCAGGTAAGGAATCGTCAACTCCGCCAACAGAATGACGCTCGCATATAGCAATATTACCATCATCAGTGAGCTGACAGAGGGTTTCTTTTAAAGACCTCGACTCAATCAAAGTGTCATCGGCAATGCCAGTAGTATCCCAATGATCGTCAGGGGTTCCGGTTGTAAAAATTCTACATGTAGTTTCCTCATGTATATCGTCTGGCATTGATTGGTCAACACTACAAACACCGTGACATTCACGATCTTCATCCCTAGAGGAATCAATTCTATCAAGTTCAACCATTCCATTCTTCGACTTTGAATTACTATTAGCACTAGCATTACCATTACCATCATAAGACGATTTGTTACATTCTGTATCCATACCACTGTCACTCTGAGCGTTAAGCTGGTTTTCCTCCACCTTAGCGGGACACGGCTCAATACACTTCGCCATGGAACAACGTATCTCCTCGCACCCAACAAACAGTTCTTTTCCTTTGAAGTTTAAGTGTGCGCGATTATACTTCGGATGACCATTGTACTGTTGTGAATTTGTATATATTTTAAATCCCAACGCGCTGTAAACATCTCGGAGCGCCTTTCGTGGATGAATTTCACTTTCATCAATTTCCAATGACCTTTTCTCCCGTTTATTTTCCGAATCGCTGGAATAGGAAGTTTCAGGTTGAATACCACATTCAGAGTTCTGCCTGTAAATTGGTTGACTGCCTTCTACATTATCTTCCTGGTTCAAATCAATGGGAACGTTAAAATCAGTATCTTCTTCTATGTTGCCGTCATAATTCGGATGATTCTTTATTGTTTCTGTTTCGCTTCCATTGTCAGGGTTGGCTTTTAAATATCGTGCATTGCCCTGGTTTACAGAATTTGTCGTCGTGGTAATGAAATCGTTAGAGTCACTAGAATTGACACAGATTCCTCCATCATTCTTGTTCATACATTCACCATTATTAAATTGAAGTGAATTATCCAACGACTTGTCTGTTCGCTCATTTACACAAGCATTTTTCTGCTCTGTATCATTGCCCTCACTGTTAGCATCATCAGAACAATCCCTAAGGTCTGAATTTACACAATTGTCGTGCTTCATGTCATCCCTTTGACGATAGCCTTGCTCATACCAATAGTGATACTCGACAAAATAATAATTGTAGACCTCATCTTGCAATTTTAACCAAGATTCTTTGCGCGGACACTCCTCTTCTGCTGAATGACCTTCAACAGAATTTATCAATTCGATTTCCTCACCTGGTGGGCAAACTCCTGGATGTATTGCATTCCAACTCTGCAAGGTAAACTCATAACCATACGTTTTCCAATATTCTTCCCAACCACTGCTGTCACCGGACGATTTCAAATTTCCTTCAAGCTCACCCGTATTATCATTCCTGGCAACTACCAAAATGTCTTCCACCACAATAGAGGTCTCTTTTTCATCAAAATTACCAAAACATTCAGGTTGGGCAGCAGTAAACTCAACACCTTTCATATTTTCTAATGAGTTTGTACTTTCTTTCAAGGCATCTTCTGATAGACTAGATATTGGTTCTTTTCCTACCGCATCTTTCAAATTCTGTGTCAAGGCGTCCATTTTTTCTTCCAGTGTTCTATCAGGAACAAATTGTTCCTTATTGCTTGTTCCACTTTGTAACACGAACTTATTTTCATCCTCTGCCATTTCATTTTGATTGTCAAGGCTCACTTCCGGCTCTATGTCCACAGAGTCAAAATTTGCAGCTTCTTTCTCTGCACTATCATGAATAAAAGATACACTGTTAGGTATTGGGAGTTCAATTAAATTCTGTTCATGCTTATCAATGACTACACTTCGTTCGTCTAAGTCGTCACCACAATTAGCGAGGTTATCCATGTGATTTAGTTTCACTTCTTCGTTAAGATAATCTTCTCCAGTGGTGCTTTCTTTACATAAATCGCTTGTACAAGGTTCAACATTGTTCATTGTCACTGTATTAACACTGGGCTCTTGTTCAATGTTGGTTTTACACGACGTGTCACAAAATTCTGGTTGGAACTGAAGTCTAGCGAATATATCATCTTCTTTAATTTGATCTGATAGGAATTCTGGACATTCACTGGAATTCAGTGGTGGCTCATTGGCACTTTCATTTTCATGGTCAAATTTGTTCTTATCAAGCACATCAGAAAAATCTAAGTCATCTTGATCTCGTTTTGTATGTTCTTTCTTATATTTCTTCTTTTTCTTTTTCTTGCTAACCATTCTCCCATTCTTTACCTGTACCGTAGAAATATGCCAAAAGTGAATTACAACCTACAAAGTGGTCTGATCCTACTTAATTTGCGTTAAAACACCATTGCAAAACAAATCAATACACAAATAAAAGTGGGGACATGTTTTCTGCAGTAATTATTATTTAATCCATTATGTAAGTTGCACTGCACCCTAACATGCCCTACTTTATTAATTTACTCTGTCTAATGCCAGACAATTTGTCTCGTCAAAGTGAGAGCACTCATGCTGGATGGGTTAAAATATAGATTTCTTTCAAAAAAAATTGTTGATGTCACAAAATTTGTAATTAAACCTAAAAAGTAAGTTTATATTGCTACAATATTGTATTGAGTGACAATATTGTAGTGACATAATTAGTGAGATCCGAATTAATAAAGAATGTTCATAGCTTATGCTTTAGGGATGAATTCTACCATAGTCTTTCGAGACATGGTCTGGAAACTCAGTAAACTTCAAAGCGGTTATAATGAGCTGGGATTTTATGTTGAGCCGTACCTTACACCGTGCACATCCTTTGTTTTAGGTTTACTAATATTTAAATAGCATGGTTGAATGACTGAACTGAAACGTTGCGATTGGATGATTCGTTCATTATACTGAAATACAATGTGCACCGTGCACAAAACTGCATAAACACGGACAAAAAGATAGAACAAAGACTTTAGCAGAGTTTCCTAACCATGTTTTGAAAGACTATGATTCTACAGATTACCTGGCTGCTTAGCATCGAAACACCTGCAGGCATAAATGATGTTGGCAGTCCCATATTCTTCATAGCTTCAAACTCACTGTCATCAACCATTTTAATAATTACTGCATCACTTTCTGCTTCATCATCAGAACTTAATTTATCAACATTATTACATGGAGATGTTCCAGAGTTATTTCTACCATGATCAATTTTTTCATTATTTGTGCTAATGTCTTCCTATGTAAATACCAAAATACATCATTGGCATATATATTCCAATTTCAAATCAAGAATTTTGTAGCAAAGATTGCTTTTAAAAGAATAAAATGATTTTAATAACCTTATATTTACGATCTTTCTTTTCATTCAGCAAATCTGTATCACTGCAATAACAGTAAGAAAGTTCAATATATAAGGACAACTTGTGATTTGTGTTAGGGATCAAAAGTGACAGCGATATTTATTACAATAAAACATGTGACAAAGCAGCTACAAAATGAGTGACAGGCGACATTCCTTAAAAAGACTTAATTTTTAAGAGGCGACAGACTATCTAAAAAAGAGCGACAAATGACAGCTTCTGACTGGGAAAAAGCAACAAATTGCAATTTGCTTTATGGGTTCAAAAGTGACAGCAACATTTATTACAGTAAAATAAGCAACAAAGCAGGTAGAAAGTGAGTGACAAGTGACCTGGGTTACAAGTAAACAAATCTTGTAGTCGTATTCGTAGCCAAATCTAAAGCTCTCTAAAGCCGGTTTTCCATTAGGCGGAATTTTGCGTGCAGAGCGGAATTTTTGTTTGTCTTGTGATTTCTCGGGTGCAACTAATTAGAAAAGACAACGAAAAATTCCACTCCGCATGCAAAATTCCGCCTAGTGGAAAACCGGCTTAATAGCTACCACAGCACCAACTGTACGCTCCAAATATGTCAAGTGATTCAAGTCTAAGTCTAACCAGTGACATTATCCCGGAATACCCCCCCCCCCCAACCACCCCTTTACAGGGCTGGTATTCTAGTATTTCTGTATTTGTATATCCCCTTCCCTTATTTATGTTTCTAATGTGATTTTTGGACAGCATAATATATTGTATCATTGGATCTTGTCTGACAGCAAATTTCAACATTTCTAAACCGGTATGCTCAGTCGCTCAGATCTATTCTGTGGCTCCGACCGTCAGACACTCAGACGTATGTCATACGTACCTGAGCAAAGATCTGCTAAATATAACTCGTGTTGACCCGTCCATTTCTTCTGAAAATAACTCCATATATAAAACATTGCAATACCGAGTCCTAACATAATCTAACTCTTCAATTCCCGCGGTGAATTCAGGCCAAAAATCACTGATTTCTGTAGCCATGTGTCAATGGCGAACCATTATGAGCCACCGTTTTGACGAAGAACCTGTCAGCGGTAGCACCAAATAGGTATTACCATCTAGCGCAATTTAAAATTTCAAAATAAAAAAAAAGTTTTAGAATGATTTGCGAAGAAAAAAGCAAATTCTACGGTTGTTATTTGTTGTATTCTCTTAATCCGAAGTATAAAGGAAGGACATATATTGGGTTTACTGTTGATCCAAACAGAAGAATAAAACAACATAATGGTGGTGTTGAAAAGGGGGGTGCTAACAAGACCAGCAAAAAAGGACCATGGTACTGCAGTTTATATAAGCGGTTGGACATATAACCATGGTAACATGATTATATGTAGAATTACATCACAGAATAGACACTTAAAAGACTCAGCCAAAAAAGTGTAACCGCTGTCACGCCATGATTCACAATGATTTGTCATTAACCCTTTAAGTGGCACTTGGCCCTACTTTATTATCTTATTCTGTCTAACACCAGACGATTTTACAGGGGGAGAGTGCTGCCACTCAGTGGGTTAATCCAGTGTGGAAAGTTTGTATCGCGCGACGGATATCTCCAGCGCGCAATTTTGATGCTTTCTATATATTTACTATTAAATTTTCGAAATCTCCGGCGCGCAATTTCCAAACTTTCCAGTCTGGGGGTTAATCAGACTATCTGCCCATGCACCCTGTTAACCCTTTAAGTGGCATTGCACCCAGATGCGATCTACCATATTATTTTACTCTGTCTAATGCCAGACAATTTTACTTGTCAGGGGAGTGCTGCCACTCATTGGGTTAAAATGCACTCATCACATATGTTTCTAGCCAGTGCTTACAAGAGGCATTCACCCCCTGTCCACTATATTAAATATTTTCAGGGGGGTGAATGCCTCTCATAAGCAGACTGGCTAGCAACAGGCGGCATTACAACATTTATGGCAAAATCATCATATAATATAGGCCAACAATAAGTGTTTATTCTGTGATCACATTGTCAGTACATGGAATGCAGTCTGGAAAGGAACACAAGCATCCATATTAGAGAGGTCAGAGGTGTTCTCCATAGGGATAGGTGAATTAGGTTCAACAGTAATATGATTTTTGTTTTAAAATTAGGGAGATGATATTGACTGTTCATGGATTTCCAAATGAAATTTCTGCTTTAAGAGTAAGATAATAAATTATTTCCCTACATTAAAAATTAAAATATTAAACCTTATAAACACATGGGTTTCCAGAAATATGTCGATATTCTGACACTTTTTGTCATTTTAGTTTGAATGGGCGTGGCAGCATCCGCTCGTAAGCCGCAGACTGAAACGTATCGTAGCCAGGAAAAAATCGTCAGAAAAGAGTGTCGAGTTTTGCTTCCGAGTTTTGACAGAGATGCTCCGTGTAGGGCCCTGGAACCGACTCCCGCTCACTATTCGCTGGTTGAAGGAAGAATACAAAATGGACTTTGATCCCTTGAAGCAACCGCCCATTCATATGCCCATTGTGTATGGACCAATCCCAAGCTGGAAGAAACCCAAGACTAGCGAAAAAGGGAATACATCGGAAGATGAGCTCATACCTGTGTGTAAAATATGTCAAAATTTAATTATCGTAAGTGTTCAAATCATGGATCCAAAATTAAATGGTGGGATGCATGTCATCAGAGCCAGGCCAGCTCAGATGAATCGGGTCACAAAAATTTGTGCCGTTACCTGGAATCAAATTAAGCCAACCGGGTCAGTCTTGAATCGGGTCACAAAAATTTGTGCCGTTACCTGGAATCAAATTAAGCCAACCGGGTCAGTCTGTAATGTACGCATAGGTACCTATTTTTCAGATTCAAGAATAATGTACGCATATGTACCTATTTTTCAGATTCAAGATCATACTCTGCGATGCCTGAGCGTACTCTGCGATGCCTGCAAGCGGACTGTGATGTACGCATATGTACCTATTTTTCAGATTCAAGATCATACTCTGCGATGCCTGCAAGCGGACTGTGAAATGACTGCACACATTTTCTGCTTGGCAAAAACATTCCTATCGACTACCAAACAAGATGCGGACTACTGCATACCTCTGGAAGGTGACTGCCCAACTTGTGGACAAAATTTACTGTGGGGCGAACTGATACGGCATCAGCATCAGTTGCAGGATTTAAAACAAACCAAAAACCCTATTCAGTAGATTTCATTCATCTTATGGAGTATTAACGCATTTTGTACCATTCACCATATTTATAATTCAGTCAATGGACCACTCCCCAATTAACCAAAATTTTGATCTCAACAAGTCTAGACAAAATTCCATCAGCATGAAAGAGCATCACAAAATTAGTAATATTCCAAAGTTTCATCGATCGTTGCGAAATGTTGTAAAATGCGGATAATATAGCCTTGCGAAATTTGCAATTTTCAGTCATTTTAGATTACAAACGGGAAATGGTTACCACTTTTCCAAAATTTTGATCTTAACTAGCCTAAACAAAAATTTCATCACAGCTTGAAAGAGCATCACAAAAGTAGTAATATTCCAAAGTTTCGTTGCGAAATGTTGTAAAATGCGGATAATATAGCCTTGCGAAGTTTGTAATTTTCAGTCATTTTGTATTACGCACAGAAGTGGTAACCATTTCCCAGTTTGTAATCTAAAATGACTGAAAATTGCAAACTTCGCAAGGCTATATTATCCGCATTTTACAACATTTTGCAACGAAACTTTGGAATATTACTAATTTTGTGATGCTCTTTCAAGCTGTGATGAAATTTTTGTCTAGACTTGTTGAGTTAATTAATTTTGGTTAATTAATTGGGGAATGGACCGAATGGTCCATTGAACACTCATTCTACACTTACACCATTAGATAGAAAATATTACTATGTATTTTAGTCGGTTAATCCATCCATTCACAACTTTCTTTGTACAAAATACCTACTTTAGATATATTCCTTTATGTACAAATATTTAAATATATATTTATTGACAAACAATTTGTCAGTTCATATTCAGATCCCCGCCCATTCCCACCCCCCTATCGGAGGGAGGGGGGACATTTTGTCCCATTGATTTACAGCCCATTCAGTTCTACTTCAAGGGTAAAAAATTCTTGAATTATTTTCTCTGTGGGTTTTTGATGGTTTTTAACAGTTAAGTTTAGCTCTGAAGCGGCTCTGTTCTCCCTGAGGTCATGCCATCTTTCCAAAATGTGACTGTAATTCAACATCGCTTCGTAATTACCTGTAAGAAACAATCTTATTTCAAAACCATCCTCAGAGATAGGAGAAACTAGTTACAGATTATTCTGACCAGCTTTAATAGACCTTTCCCCTTTTGAGTGAAATTTTGATCTACACAAGTCTGGACAAAAATTTCATCACAGCTTGAAAGAGCATCACAAAATTAGTAATATTCCGAGGTTTCGTTGCGAAATGTTGTAAAATGCGGATAATATAGCCTTGCGAAGTTTGCCGTTTTTCAGTCATTTTGCATTACGAATGGGAAATTGATAATCAGTTATCAGTTTGATCATCTGATTATCAATTTTCCGTTTGTAATGCAAAATGACTGAAAAACGGCAAACTTCGCAAGGCTATATTATCCGCATTTTACAACATTTTGCAACGAAACTTCGGAATATTACTAATTTAGTGATGCTCTTTCAAGCTGTGATGAAATTTATGTCCAGGCTTGTCTAGATCAAAATTTCACTCATAAGGGGAAAGGTCTATTAACTATCACGAAACCTTAGAATGTACAAACTGCGAAGTTCGACTAAAGCGATGCAAAGTTTGTTGTAATTTCGACTTTAAGTAGCACCTCTTAGGTCGCAATAAGTCTTCACGTTGCTTCAAAGACGTGATAATGCTTAGTTTAACGTTGTGCTGAGCATGACAAAGTCGTTGAGAATACCCCTGGGGCCACAAATTATTCACAGTTTTTGTCTCGCATGACAAATTTCGAGACAACGAAATTTTTGTTGTTCTCTGGCTCTGCAGTGTCAGATTAATACGAAACTAGAAACATTCTTACTAGTTATTCTCAAGTCAGGCTTTTTTTCCGGGATTTTTTAGGGCCGTTAAACGGTCCCAAAAACTCAATCTTGAATTGAGTTTTGAAACTCAATCTTCTCACCAAAGTTTCAGTGCAGTAAAAATGAAGTTGTTTGAGTTAAATTCGTGACGTGTGGAAATTAGTTTTCAGTTGGAAACCCGACAATTAAGAAAAAATGGCTGGAATTCATCTCACAACACAAGAAAAACTATGCATTCGGCATCTTTAACCAGTTTATAGTGTCCCTCAGTGCCTCTGCTTTAACACATTCCGTCTCAACTACATTTATTGAGTACACGTGTCAGCCCCCCGGTAGGGGGGGGGGGGTGCAACCACCCCCATCTGTTCAGCTAAACTCAATCTTCTCGGGGTGCAACCGCCCCATCTGTTCAGCTAAACTCAATCTTCTCTGCAAAAACGGACCCAAGAGAAAATCCTGAAAAAAAACCTGCAAGTATAAGCCCGTTTTCCACTAGGCAAATTTATTCGCGTCAAGAGACTTTTTCTTTGGTCAACTTGTTCTTTTTTCGTTTGGATCTATTATCACTTTCGTCAGCAAAAGCGATACCGACAAAGGAAAATGTAGTCTTGTAATACAAGCTTAAACGAATACGAGAATAGACGACTGTTGATGGCCGCTCCCATTGTAAACGAGGCTCAGTTTAATACGGCACTCGGCAGAACTGTTTTGGTGCAATACAGACCTGTACTTTTATACAAATGAATTAAACCTCTGTAGTCATATTCTAGTCCACTGTAACCATCACCAAAGAGTTTGCGGCCTACAAGGAAGGAATGGTATCTTCATAAATCAAGTAATACACCCTTTCGATAATTACGTCACAACTACACTGTTTTCAACTTAGGACCACCTTAAATGGAAAGGTTTTCAAGTTTTTTTTTTCTCATGGGCTATGCACAGAGAAGCAGAACATCCTTCTTCAACACATGCATGAAAAAAGTTTTGGATTTTGATCAATAAATATAGAAATAAGCATTAACACGAAAACGAGCCTCGTTTTCGTGCTAGAGCTTATTTCCACATTTATTGGTCAAAATAAAGAATTATTTTTCATGCACGTGTTGAAGAAGAATGTTCTGCTTCCCTGTGCATAGCCCATGAGAAAAAAACTTGAAATCCTTTCCATTTAAGGTGGTCCTAAGTGGAAAACAGTGTAGTTGTGACGTAATTATCGAAAGGGTGTATTGTTAGATATTGGCCTCTGGATATTGGCAGTGCACACAAAATCCGAGAAAGCCTGCAGTATTTGGAAGAATCGTGGAATCTTCTCACATGTGGACTGAAGTAAAATAGCTAGACAACTGCATATTGGGTTTAGAATCGAACCCCGGTTGCCCCCTCCAAAAAAATCCAACTTACCAATGGCAATGGAGCGAATATACAACTCTTCAGCCTTATCGAACATGTTCATGTCGTACGTATAAAGCGACGCCAAATGACCCAGCGATAACGCCACTTCGTAGTCCTATAACATGGTGAATATACCAACATGAACTACATGACAGAAGATTCGAGACGTTTCGATAGAAAGTCCCTGCTCAGGAGGAAATGTCGAAGTAAGTTTAATCTTTTTCAGCCATAGTTCAAACACCAACCAATAGGGCGTAAAAGTGAGTTAGCTTATTTTTCCAGAAAATGTCTAGGTCTAACATATACAAAACAAATCCAAACGCCACCGTACCTCTATGCCCAGTAATCGTTCCTTGATTTCTATAGCTCTTTGATGCATCTTTTCAGCTTCCTATGAACAGTTGGGGATTTGTTAGCTAACATATTTTTTGAAACACACGTCATTAAAGGATTAGTTACACGCATGGCGCTTATATGGTTATACGGCAATCAATACTTACGCCGTATCTTTTCATGGACTGATAGAGTCTGCCAAGATTCCCAAAATGTTTCGCTATCTGAACATTGTCTTCTCCAAACGCTTGCCTATGATAATAAAAAAATCGAGCAGGTTCATCTATGTTCACAGCATTTCCCTTTATCACTGAAAACCTTGCGTGTACATTGACATTGTACAAAAGGGCAAGACTGTTTAAGAGGCCAAATTTTCAAATCTACCTTGCTAGCAGAAGCGATGCTAAATGAAGGTTTTGAGCCTCGTCAAGTTTCTCTTCCTCCAAATCTCTGTCAATGGCGATCTCTTCCAAAACTAGAGCTAGAGAGAAAGACGGTTACGTTAGGGGCGTTACTATACTGAAGTGTTTCATATGACATCAAAGATCCTGGAATATTGACTATGAGTATATAGTATAAAATACCTTTTACTCGCTTTGATGAAGCCAGTAACAAATGATCTTCTGGTAGATGTCTTGAAATGATGTCAATGGCCATCTGAGCATGGTGTCTAAATAACAAATTTATGAAATATAATTATTTACTTTTTACTTTCATATTACATCTAAATTTATTTGTACTGGATAACTATCAGCTATAAATTATCCACCCCAGAGGTCCAATAAGGCCAATCCTTCATTTATCCAGTGTCACTATAGCTGCAAGCTGGAGTACCTGAAGGCAACCTAAAAATGAAGCTGTGACGTCACCACTTGTGACGTCGCCACTCAAGGTGTGACGTCACCACTCAAGGCATCCACCACTTATGACGTCACCAGTCAAGGCAAACTAGGCAGCAATATCAAATAACGACTGAATTATAGGCTGAATTACAGTAAAGGTACCTACAATACATCTCATACCTAGCATTTTCAAACTCTCCACTGCTGTATTCCTGGACGTACGAGGCATAGCCTAAATCCTCGTGTACCATTGCCACACATAGATTGTTTTCACCAAATAGATTTTGTAGAATGTCTAACACATTCTGAAATAACAAGGTTAGGCAACTTAATGCAACAGCGTTAACTTTTGATACATTAAATGGTTACAAGGAATGAAGAGGTATCAGTCAATATCGGCCCAAAAGCTTTTTTTGTCAATGATTGTAGACTTCACAAACCTGATATATTTTTACAGCGGAATCCACAGAGTCGACATTTAACAAGTAAAAGCCATAGTCAACCAAACTATCAGCATATGTTCGATGTTGGTCGCCAAAATGTTGTCTAGAAATATGTACGCATGAATGGTCAAAATTGGCCACGTTGCAAGAATTGCATCATCACAGAGTTAATATATACTATACTGTATCAATTTATGAATTACTTATTGAAAAATACGACTAATAATACTTAAATAAATTACTTTGCAAGCTCAACTGCATGTGTTATCAAATACTCTGCCTTTCTGTACTTTCTTTTAACAACACATGCCTAGAAATGGAATGGAATACATACTGTATATAAGTCAGTTTAGAACATTGTTATGAAACCACATAATCATGCTCGTCATCATTCAATAATTCATAAATAACAAAAAACATATTGCAACCTTTGATGATATCCTTAAGATATCAATAATCACCTGTAACATTGAAAAAATAAAAATCAGAAAAATTCATTTGGTATATTGTACATAGAACAAATTGATGAGAAACGTTTCATTTCATACTTTAACTGAAAGCTGAGAATTGACATTCGTTAGCAACTTCAAACAGTCTTGATATGCCTGGTTGAATTCAAAAGAAAAAACATATATTGGTCAGTACTCATTTCTAACCACCAAACTGACATTATTGACATCATTGTTAACCCCTAACCCCCAACCCTAACCAAATTAACTCATTGAGTGGCAGCACACTCACCATGACGAGTAAATTGTAAAATCATCTTATGTTATATATTAGACAGAGTAAAATAATCTGGCATAATTAGACAAAGTAAAATAATAAAGTAGGGCGCATCTGGGTGCAGCAACACTTAAAGGGTTAATCAAGAAAATCCAAAAAGAATCAACTTGAAAAATTGATAAAATGATGTAATGTCAGCTTGATGGTTGGAAACAAGTGAAAACCTTGCTAAATGGCAGAAGCTAACAAATATGCATTGTGACATTAGTCTTGCAAGGCACATTGTATAATAATGACTACATCATTCAGACATACACTACCTCTCTGTAATGGTTCATTGCAAACAACAACTGACATTTTCCCAATGAAATTGGAATCCAGCTGACAGGAATACAGGACGAACTTTCCAACTGGCTGGCAAGTTCAACTGCTTGTTCGTACGAGTCTTTGGCAGCGGAAAATTGACAGTTCCCTGTTCTTATATGAAGCAATCTACAACAATGAAATTATTCTGTACAGTAACATACTTAATTTCCATGCCATATTAAATGACGTCATTTTCCCTTTCTGCGTCATGTAAGTTACTTCATTTCTTTTTCCATCACGAAAATTTACGTTCTCTTTATTAATAACGTCAATGAAATTTGCGTACTCATCATCGTATAAATTTACGTTATATGTCTTTTACGTTACACAACATTACGTCACATAAATGTATGTCACGTAAATAATTGCGTCATTTTTAACGTCACATAAATTTACATCTGATGTAACATATTGCGACAACATTATTTGCATTAGTATTTAAATTTGGATGAACAACAATAAACAAAGTTAATTAATAACAAATAATCATTCAGTTGAATGTCAACATACGGTTTTAACAATTAGATTATTAGATTACATAGATATCGATGGAACTAGACTCAGTTCTGAAATAAATTCACATACTCGAACCGACCTGACCGTGTAGCTCAGTTGGCAGAGCATTGGCCAAGTATTCCAAAGGTCGTAGGTTCAATTACCACCATGGCCAGGCATATTTTTCAAGCTTGCCCGGTGTGGATACACACTCAGACTCACTTTTAACAAGTTCTGAAACCATGAAGTTTCAAGCCACAACGACATACTTTATAAAATAAGTACCTTGTGTGACATAACAAGATCATCTTGTATGGTGTTGGAGTTAATGCTTTGCACAGTTGAAGAATACAGTAAAACATGTTATCTGCCTTGTAAAACCATCCCATCTCTAAAAATAGATTACCTGCAAAAATATCAAAATAGACAATTAGATATAAACACATAAAGTCATCAAGAAAATTATATGAAGGCACTCATTTAGAGGGAGGGGGTGGGCCATATGGGGGAGCTGATTTGGTTTGGGAAAATTATTAATCTCAGGAGTAGAAGCGGAATATTGTTACTTCAACATTCAATATTCATAACCACAATATTTAATATAGTATACTGTATTCCTATATCTGTAGAGTATAAAAACTATGAAGAAAATTATGTTAACATTACCTAATGATATACCCATTGGAATCATTTTCTTACATACATCCCAATCTTCCATTTTCATAAACTGTCGGACCTGACAACTATATTCCTCATACAAAGTAACAGCAACATTTATACCATTGTCATGTAGATATTGTAAAGGTTTATACAATAATAACCTAAAAATGGAAATATAATAAATTCTATACATAAGGTTGGTTGTGCGAAGGATGGTTACGCAAAGGTTGGTGATGTACGAAGGCTCGGATGGTGATTTTTTCAAGCTTTCTAAAATTGGATGTAGATAGGTGTAATCCAGATTAAACTGGAATATTAATAAAATAAAGTTTCTTTTCATCAATCGTAATGTCCATATCAGTGGTTCACAGCTTTTCAGGCATTTTCAGGGGGAAGGGGAAGGGGGGGGGGGCAAAATCGAAATTTATGAACCAAGTTGAAAAGTGCCCCATTACAAAAATCTGCCACCCTCTTGCCTTGCGTGATGTTCCGGCATCCCTGTCGCATATACTATTGTTCCCAGTAAACTGCAAAACAACCCTTTTTTTAGGCGCTTTGTCAGTGACAGTTTTGTCAATTAAGAAGGACATATTTGTGTACCTCGTGATCACAATTCGTTGCAAGCGGCGTGTGAAAAACTGCAAGTTTCAGTTTGACAGTTCTGACAGTTAAATGGTTTCTAATTTTATTCTCCAATCAGGTGCGTAGTTTTGATTTAAAATTCAAAACTATGCATCTGATTGGACAATAAAATTAGAAACCATTTAACTGTCAAACTGAAACTTGCAGTTTTTCACACACCCCTTGCAACGAATTGTGATCACGAGGTATACAAATATGTCCTTCGTAATAGACAAAACTGTTACTGACAAAGCGCCTAAAAAACCAGTCGTTTCGCAGTTCACTGGGAACAATAGTATAGTCAATTGCATTTCCCTTTAAGGATCAAGCTATAGGGCTACACATGACACTTATGTGAATTAGAATCTGTTTTCCCTGGGTACTCAGGTTTCCTTTCGCAGGGAATGTTGACAAATTGAGTTGAGTTGGGTCCATCTTTTTTGGCCACTTTATCCAATCAGATTATCTGTGTCTATTTAACAATTATTGGATGAGGTTTTTGTGATATGCATAATTAGTATTTTTGCACAAGTGAACATAACAAATCCTGCAAGGTGATTGGTCAAATTTGACGTATTAATCTGTTATATTCACCTACAGGTGAATATTCACCTACAGGTGAAATATAACAAAAATCGAAATTTTCAAAATGACGGCTAGCCCTTTTTTTTGAAGTTAGTGATAAAGAAATTTTCAGACCAGAAAAACACAAAAAAATATAATAAAAAAATATTCGCCTCAGGCTCAGTGATTATCAGAGAATATTCACCTCGGCAAATATTCCCCGATAATCACTTCGCCTTCAGCGAATAATTGTTAATTATCAAGGTTGAGGTAAGTGTTATCAGCTGAGCCGAAGACGAGGCTGATAACGCTTACCGAGACCTTGATAATTTTGCATATCGCAAAAACCGAATTCAAAATAGATACCGGTTGCTAATCATCGCAGCATCATGCATTTGCAAATAACTCAGTTATCTGCTAGCAGATAACTGAATTTTCTGTAGGTTGCGTGATTGCGTGATTTAACTGTAAGCTCTTAACCAATCAAATTGCTTTTACCAACTACAATGTATAATAATATAGGTTACTGTGTCTATTATAAATTATCTGTGTCTATCATATAAAATTGGAAGTACGAGGCAGTCGGCTGACATTCTTTCAATATAACAGCCCAGATAATGCTGATATTTCGATGAAAAAAATTACGAAATATAACAAGGCTTTTAGAGGAGTTTATATGCACATAAACTACTTGCACAGCTTTGTGTATATATGTATGATACAATATTTCGTCACTATATATGGGTGGGGAAATGTTAGACCAAAATAGAAACAGATACCTTTTCTCATTCGCCCTGAGTAATTTTGTCACATTCTCAAAGCAAGTAAGCTCCGTTTCTAACGGTTTTAAATGACCACAATCGTACATCTAAAATGGGATACAAAATAAACAAATCAAGTTACTTTTAATATAAACATACTACATCACACCATACTAAGAGGGCATTATGTAATAGCAAGAATGGGCAGTTTTTACCTGTCTGTATATGTCGCATTGTAGATTTCCCGGTAAAAGTCGGACATCAGATAGCAACTGTACATGATTATGAACAATTGAGTTCAAAGAAATGTTCAATAAACTACAAGGCGAGGCCATAAATAATCGACCTTTAATTAAAAAAATCGTGCGTAGAACATATTAGCTTCTTTTGTTTTTTAAATATTCTTACGTCACAATTATATTAGCATGATTAGCATACTTTTCCTGTAGTATTTTAACCAAAATTCCTTGAAGGAAGGATAAAATTCTTCTAGAATCTTTCCTCATATTGGAGTGTTTTATCATATGTTTTCTTGTTCAATTGTGCGATAGAGTAAAGATATCATAGAAAGTTGAATAGAGGTTAAATTTAATGGCATTTTTTTTTAAAAAACGCTTATATTTGCTAAAATTGCTTGAAATTTTTCCCCAGCTGAGATAAATTTCCTACAAATTAAAAATGCGAGACCTCGCACGAAATGCCAGCGGAAATTACAAAAAATAATGCGCGCGAAATGTAAATCCAATGGCGGGAAAAATTGAAAAGGATCGAAACAACAACAACGATTTAATACAAAATGGTAAAAATATAGTCCTTAAACATGCTTTAAACAGTTACTTTCTTTCGTTTTTAATGATAGATTAATGCTATGATGTATAGTAATGAATGTAGTTCATTTTGAAACTATAACACATAATTTATACACGCTTTATACATTTGCAATGATAAACTAAAATATATTACTATTATTACTAAATATTTAAATACGTTCAAATACTATGTTATTATTTTAGTCGAAAAAGCGGGGCTTAAGTCTTGACGAGAAGAGAAAACGTATTATGGATATCTTCTTTGATAGGGTATTAAATTTGTTTTGTATGTTATTATGTTTATTTTTAAAATATATTTGTTGATGGGTATAAAGCTTTTAAGGTGCAATGTGCTGTAATGGATCTTACTTTTCTTTTTTAGAAAGATTTTTTCCAACTGAAAGAAATTGAGAAGATTGCTTCTAAAGAAAAAGGCATAAGTATGTTTGAGTAACAGGAACGTGACAATCCTAACAACGTGCACCTTGAGCTTGTTATGCACCAGTGATTGTAACGTCCTGCCACGCCCCCCCCCCAGCTTGGAAAATGGTGCAACAAAGCAAGGACAAATGTATGTTATCACAAGTTTGTCCTACATACAGGGAATGTAGCATAGCCCACCCCGACGATTTAGTCCATGTGCAAATATTTTTGTGTTCATTGACTGTGAAAACAATAATTTCTAAAGAAATGAAAAATGATAATTTTGAATTTGCATAGAGGGACTAATTGTCGGGCTGGTTACGCCACTGCCTGGCACACAGCGATTACGTTCCATACTGGACAAATCAAGAAAACAGCTGTGCTTAGCATATGGTACCTGTAAACTTCCTTTCCCTGTTGATAATGTGGAAGGTATCAATTTCTCTGCTACCAATAGCACTCTTGTTGGCTGTCAAATAAGGACTTTAAAACATTCCCCTTTCTTGGAAGCAACATTAAACCACTGTGGATGCATTTAGATTTATTCAATGCTTAATCGATGTTGATTGTTGATAAACGATTAATCAGTCACAAAAATGAATGAATAGGAGAAGCTCAACATGTATTGTTTAGCCACATCACATCTGTTTTAAACATCAACTTTCCTACCATGTAATGTTCATTCTAAATATGCAATATATCATCATACAGATGCTATGGTAGTGAAAGAAATAGTACAAGGTCTAGTTGATGATAATATGGTTGATACAGAAAGGATTGGAACATCCAATTATTTTTGGGCTTTTCCAAGTAAAGCCATGATTGCAGTGAGTTTTATGAAAAATATCATAAATAAAGATATTGCTTACTATAATTCATTGCTCTTTAATTAACCCATTGAGCTGCGGGGCTTCCCCATTGATGAGTAAAATTGTCTGGCGTGAGACGAGTAAAAAAATAAGTAGGGGCACTGGGGTGCATTGCGGCTCAATGGGTTAACTAGGCATATTGTCAGATTTTTTGGTTCAACCATTAAGCTGTGGGGCTTTCCCATTGACAGGTAAAATTGTCTGGCATTAGACAAGTAAGAAAAAATAAGTGGGGCACATTGTGGCTCAGTGGGTTAATTAATAACACATTTGTAAGGTCTTAGTGATAACATCTCTATATTTTTAGAAAAAAGCCAAGTTGCAAGGTCTCAAAAACAATATTGAAACTTATGAACAAAAGAAAGTACAACTTGAGAAAGACATAAAGGAGGCTAAAACAACAAGAACGGACACTGTGAGGCCATTACTGTGAATCTTGCAATGACTGTGATACTCATTAACAATTCATTACAACTCATCAATTTACCATATGTATGATTTTCAGGACAAACGGACTGAGGTGCTCAAAGATTTGGCAGGAAAAGAAGAACTATGTCAAAAACTTTCTAAGGAGCTTGAGCGCTATAAAGAATGTGACCCAGAAGTCTTGGAGAAAATGATGGAAGAAACCAAGATGTCGCACGAGGCAGCCAATCGCTGGACAGACAACATCTTCTCAATCAAATCTTGGTGCACCAAGAAGTTTGGAGTCGAGGGAAAGGACATTGATAAAAATTTTGGTATTCCTGAGGACTTTGATTATCTGGAATAATAAACTGTGTATATACTTGAAATTTATTTTATAAACTGTTTAGTTTACATTTTTGTATTAACTGCATAAATGCACTAATGACATTGGTAAAAATGTATTCGTGGTGGAGGAAAAAAGATATTAATTTTTGTGTTTTTGATTATCTGGAATAATAAACTGTGTATATACTTGAAATCTATTTTATAAACTGTACATGTTTAGTTTGCTATACATTGAATTTTTGTAACTGAATAAATGTACTGATGTTGGTGAAAATGTATTTGGGGTGGTGGAAGCTATTCATTTTGGTATTCTTGAGAACTTTGATTATCTAGAGTAAACTGTCTATAACTTTGAAGATTGTATATGTTGTTCTCACTCATATATGAAAATGGACTATGCAACTTCATACAATAGAATGGATTAACTTAGTTTCAACCAGAACGGATTAACTTAGTTTCAACCAGAACTTTGCAGTAAAACACTCCTATCTATTAAAGATGCTGTAAAGTCCATAATGTAAACAAACACTTTGTTTACATTTTGAAGTCAGTGCTACAGTTGTAAAATATGATTAGATATCACTATGCTTGTAAATGAATAGACTAGAGATTCAATTCAAGAAAGTTCGTAAGGTGCAAAATATTAATAACATTCCAATGGTCAGGTCCCAACCATTCATGGAAGGTAGAAAGAAGCTTTACAGCATCTTTAAACACCCCTTACATAATATGTCCTTGCACTATAGAAGCATTTACCAAATTCTTCGACTCCCTGAGCACAAATTACATTAGCTCACACATTGAAATGTGGATATTTAAATTACCAGAAAGGTACAAATGAGTTCCACCGAACTTTAAAAAACTTGTATTTTCATATTTTATTAATTACATTAACGATGTTCACTAAGCAATACAAATATCATTGCATTACTATATAACACTTTGTACTACCTAGTACATTCTTCACTATGTTATGCAGTGCCATATAAATATCTGATAGTGTTTATTAAATGTTTATATGTCGTCATCATCATCGGGAAGGGCAGTCTTCTGTGCCTCAATCAAATCGGCTTCAATTTGTTGTTTTTGTGAGGCATCCATGACAATCTCGGGTGGTAAGAGTGCAGGCATTTCTGTGAACTCTAGGTTAGGGTCACCTGTGAGTTTTCGAGCTAGCCACAAGAATGGTTTCTCAAAGTTGTAGTTACTTTTTGCGCTGATGTCGTAGTACTAGAAAACAAGGAAACAAGGTTGGTATAATTTCCTCCAAATTTCTATAAAAAGTAGTATGAAAAATTATTTGCAGCTCTATACAAATCTATCCAAGCTCAAATATACCTGAAGGTTCTTTTTTCTATGGAAAGTAATAGCTTTTGCTTTGACTTTTCGGTCTTTGACATCAGTTTTATTTCCACATAATACAATGGGAATGCATTGACAGACTCTTTCTAAATCTCTGTGCCAGTTAGGGACATTCTTATAGGTAACTCTCGATGTGACATCAAACATGATTATTCCGCATTGCCCTTGGATATAATAACCGTCGCGCAACCCACCAAACTTTTCCTGGCCTGCTGTGTCCCAGACGTTGAATCTGATGAGCCCTCGGTTCGTGTAAAAATCAAGAGGATGGACCTCAACACCAAGGGTTGCTACAAGCAAAGAAATAAGAATATGATGGAAATCAAGAAAATATTGGCAAACTGATTAACCCTTTAAGTGGCAATGCACCCTACTTTATTATTTTACTGTCTACTGCCAGACGACTTTACTAACGTCAAGTGGAGAGTGCTGCCACTGAATGGGTTAATCAGGAAAGGGAAAAGTTAATCATATGAGTTGTATTTTTCTTATATTGGGTCATTCCAGAAAAGATCCATACTCCCCCACGGAGGAAATTTCTACCGTCCAGAGGGGGAGGGGAGAAAAAATTGTTTCTGATAATAGTAAATAGGGGGTAGGGGAGGGGGTTAATTTCCTCTGTGGGGGTGGTATGGATGTTTTCTGGAATGATCTATTCTCCTTATTAGTCATGTTTTATACACATTGCTCTAACATTTTGACAAACAATGTTAAAGCAACATTTGTATTCCCTACAACCACACTCCATCGACACCCCTGGGCCAGGCTGTAAAGTATTATTTTCGCACGGGGAACATTTGAGAATGGCTGCATAACTTCCACAAGGTGCCACCATGCTTGTAGTGCTGTGCAAACTCCGGTTTTTCATCTCCGGCTCCGGCCGAATTATAGCTCTGAGCTCCGGCCACATCATAAAATATTAAATAAATGTTTTACGATCAGAGAACATTTATTAATATTATAATGAATAACCGTTTTCGCACTTCCTAATTATCAGATAACATAACTCAGGAAACAAAACAGTGAAAACACTTAACCACGCAGAAAATATCTATATGGAAACCAGCCTCGAAAATTTTTTGACAGTGTTGCAATTTTTATATAGCATGACGCGAGGCATGACGCTAACACTCTCAGACTCCACAGCGCAATTGTTTGCATGCAAACAAAGTACTCTGTAATTTTCAAAAGGTTGATATTTATTTGTTTTGTACTTTTTCGTTATCTACAAGGCATGAATACACAGACTATGTAGCGAAGTCAGATGGCTTCGCGAAAGCACGACGTTTGTAAGTTGTGATCGTATTACAGCTTTTCGATGCTGTTCCTATGGGCTGTGGCAGTTTGAGTCTATGATGAATTCATTAACAGCAATTGGCAGTTTGCAGTAACTAACAATCGTTTGACATTTGTCTCATTTCAATTGTTTTCTTGTCATTTTGCCGGAGTTGGAAAAATGTAACTCCGGCTCCGGCATACAAAATTCTGCTCCGGCTCCGGAAAAACCGCCGGAGCTCCGGTGGCAGAACTCCGGCGCACAGCACTACATACTTGGCATCATTTTCAGAGTTTTCTCTGCCTCTTTTTGCAAGGCCAAAAACATACGAGACAAAATAAATCATTAGTTCATAAAAATATGCAGATTTTGTACGATTTTTATTGAAAATATGCGGACAGAAATTCAGTCAAAATTTCTGAAAACTTTACAGTCTGGCCCCGGACGTTCAACAAAATATTTCCTCACTCCCGGGGAGGTGTCCCCGTGTTGGTGTACACTTCCCTAGGGCCTGTTCGAGGGGGGGGGGGAAGGCAACAGGAAGATTGAATCATGCATGCATAACTGCCATATGACATAAATGTGCTGCCATTGCCAAAAATGCAATATGCTGATGCTAGCTAGGTTTTGAAAATAAATTTCTTCAAACCTATTAAACGGCTATTAAATGTACGTTTGGCATGATATTTAAAACCATGAAAACTGTACTTTCTTTTTAGTTCGCTCACTACAATAATTATGGGTATTTATGTTTTATAACTCGTGTCCACTGAACCAGTATTTCATTTGGATTTAAATTTTACCCAACGTACCAACGTATTTCTTTTCAAATTCGCCAGTCATGTGTCGCTTCACAAACGTCGTTTTACCCGTACCGCCATCTCCAACGAGTACCAACTATTTTAAAACATAAGAAATGTTCAAAACGATACCTTATATGTCAAATGAACTTCGAGGAATCATCCTCAAACTTACCTTAAACGTAGCCACAGGTTGCGGCTTGTTTGTATTCATCGTAGCGAATAGGAAAAACAAAAAGAAATTGCTTAAACTTTAAACCAGTTCCTTGTCGATAGAATATCTGTTTTGACTAAAATTTTATCATGAAAATTCAAAGGATTGACATGGATTCAATAATTTCGATTTGTGAGGAACTGCTTCGAACTGGTTCAAACCACCTGGGAAATTGCGAAATGCCCGCCTTTTTGCCGTATGAACCTACGAACCCGGGTATACCAAGGAACGGGGACAAATACCCGGTGTAATTGTCACTATATTTATAAATGCAAACTTTCTTATGGTAATTTTCGTGAATTACTAAGCTTGTTTTGTAGATAATGACGGAGAGAGCCTTACTGGGGCTCTCTAGGAAAACAGGTAATGATTTAAGTGTACAAACATTAAAATGAAAGAATATCACAAGATCACTCCAACACCACAGAAATTATGTCAGAATAGAGACCATGCACACAGAAGTGCATCACTTCATGTTGGTGGCTATGGTTTTGGTGTGATCTTGGCATAACCCTCAGCATAACCAGTACACTAGGTGCTTGCAAGAGGCAAATATAAGGCCCCCCGTCAATATTGTACAGTCGTACCCAGAGCAATTAATGCCTGTGCGCAGGTGAGGGAGGCATTGGCTCTGGGGAAATAGAATTTTTCCTGTGCTGTGATTGGTTTAACGTTTATCAATAGTGCACGCTGACAACAACCGGAACCCCTAAATTTAGGGGTTCCGGTTGTCTATTTCCCCAGAGCCAATATGCCTTCCTCGCCCGCGCACAGGCAATTGCTCTGGGTACGAGATTGTCCCCCCATGTATAACAGTATAAGTCCCATTCCAAATATAAGCCCCTCCCGTAAATGTAAGCCCCTCTGTGTATAAGCCCATGGGCTTATTATTGGACAGGCATTTATTATTAAACACAGCGATGGGGATTCTAAACAGCTCAGACAAGTGACAATTACATTACAGTATATTTATGTCAACCAACTTGTTTTATTGAGATACTAACACCAAATGTCTTTCATTTATAAGTCAGGGCTTATATTCAGAGGTTTGCGATACTGACATGTTTTAAATTGAGGTCATCAGCATTGTGGGGTTGTGCGATAGTTTACATCAGTTTTACATGTAATGATTAAATTCATGATTATATCTCCGAACTTCTCGAGAGACCTAAACTTCTGTACCGTCTTGTATTACAAACAAGTTTGACCAGTTTATCTTTACTAAACAACGACGTACGTGATGGTGGCTGCGCCGCATTCTTCATGAGCAGCGGTTCTTTATCAGTACATGAGCTCGATGCTGAACTAATTTTGCTGACACTGAATTCACCCAATTTATCCTCGGTCAAAGGCTTATTTCCACCCGTTGTCAGGTTCCTGCCTTTCTGCGGGCTAAATTTTTGCTTCAGGCAACACAGAATTTGATTTCTAAACACAGAATCGAAGAAACAATATACCAACGGATTACATGCCAAGTTTGCTAAAGCTATGTAGGTCAGTAAATTGTAAAGTAGATCTTCTTTCTTGCTTTTGTGCTCTCGAACAATTTGTACAGTATATGACGTCACGACGGGAATCCAACAGAACAGAAACAAACATGTGACTATAAAATTCATCACCAACGCCCGTCGCTTAGCAACCGGTACTTCTTCGCGAAATGTACCACAAGGAGATTTCCTGGTACCAGGCGCTTGCGACATTTTCAGATTTCTGCGGCTGGCATCAATTTGAAGGATTCTCATTATCATAATAAAATATGTCCCGCAGAGTAAGCACATTGGGATAATACATATCAATGTTATTTGGATTAGTGAATAAATTTTGTTCAATTTACCGATACTGTGGGTACTAGGGTCACTACACCAAAGCAATAGCTGTCGTGTTTGCCCGGAATTGCCTGTAAGATCCAGAAAGATAGGGCTTGTTATTAGGAATGGAATGGACCAAGTCAGGGCAATCATGTATTTCGCTTTACGGAGAGTTATTTTTGAAGTCGGTTGAAAAATGGACAAATATCTTTCGACTGCTATAATTGTCAGCGTGATATTGATAACGCCTAAGGCAGCTGTGTGGAAATATTGCAGAATTCGACATAAACTCGTGTTAAGCAACCGAAAACCTCCCGTGAATTGTTTGTGGATATGAACGGGAAGAACCAAGGTTGCCAGTAACATTTCGGCAAATGCTAAATTCACGATAAAATTATTCATAGCCTGGGTACGAGTTGACGTGAGCCCACAGTAACATACCAGTCCATTACCGACCAATGAGAGGGCTAGGATCACGGTCAGCGTTATACCTTCTGGGATATCAGGATTTGTGGAGTCTAAGCTGGGAGATTGGTTATTGTCAATCATCATCATTCTCGTAATATTAGCCATTTTTGAGTCGAGGACGGTTGATGTTGAGATGTAGAATTAACTAAGCTTTTATTAGTGGATAAACTGAATTTTTCCAATTGTTAATTTGCCCTAAACATCAACCGTTATTCTTCTTTTAATTAATCTTTATTGCTGTCAGACTGCGAGCGGTCCCTCCTTTCCTATTCGTAATTTCTTTTCTATAATATATTCACTGAATATTTTGCAATTGTAGTTTTCGTTAGCCTTGTGTTTGAGACAGATTTTTTAGTATTTTTCAACGGTTGGCCACCTCTCTTTGTAAGATTGGCGTTTCTTTTGTTTCCTTTGTATAAATATTCTGAATATACTTCAACTGTAAGTTTTGAAAGGTGAACACGGCGACCAATGAATTATTTTACGAACTCAAAATGTTCTAGTCGACTGAATATCCGATGGAGATTTGTTCCAATTTCTTTTGGTACGTTCCTTTAAAGGCTTGTCAATTTAATCATTGCATTTGAGTCAAGGACAATAACCAATCTCTTTTTCACCAAGTTCTCTTTCCGAATCGTACTTTGATGGACCGTTGTTTGATTCCCTCTTCTTTAAAACGGGAAATATCGTTTAAACAAATAGTCTTCGCATTCGTTGCTGCTTTTCATTCCATGTTCTTGTTAACAATTTAATGATATCTTTACTTTCTTTTTACCATTGAAGATTTTTGAAGCTCAGTTTTGTTAACGTCTGAAAGAGCGCCTCTCTTCCAAGTAATCTATGTATCCAATTTATTTATTTTTGTGTACTTTCACCTTTGTTTAATGAGCTCAAAGACTCGAACGATAAAACCGTTACTTGTTAGACTCGAACGAGTGTTAGTTAATTAACCTCTTCAAAATTTCTTGCTGTAAATTCCAATTATATATAACGCATCAAGTCTCCTGTTCTTTTTGGCATATTCGTTCAATATCATTCGATCAGTTCATCCGAAGTATTTTCAAAGGATATCAGTCGAGATCTGCTGGTGTTTTATTGAATCTTGAACGTTGATGTTTTTTTAAGAAACAATAGTCAAAATACGTGTGCACTTTTTCGATACATGAGACAATCTTCACCGACTGGTACCTGTTATCACGCTTAAAAGCAAAAAGTCCAGTGAGAGCCATGTACCTTATTTATCAAATACAGCAAGAAAAAACTGAATTCAACCAACGGAGCTCAATCCTTTGGTCTACGTAATGCGAATTTAAACCTGTCACTGCCATCAGTCAAAACAGAATTTTATCAACAAAGCTTTGCTTTTTCTGGCGCGAAGCTTTGGAACACTTTGCCAAATGATCTTAAGACAGAAACATCTTTAAAAAGTTTTAAAGACAAATTGGCTACACATCAACTCTCTGTTCTCTAATCACTGATATATATTTGATATAATTAAATTGCATGCACGGCTTACGGGAAGAACAAGGATGTAAATATGTAAATATGTTTTCTCTTTGATGTAATTACCGTGTTGAAATAAAATTTTTAATAATAATAATAATAATATATATATATATATATATATATATATATATATATATATATATATATATATATATATATATATATATATATATATATATATATATATATATATATATATATATATATATATATTGTGTTTTGCCTCAAAAAACCACACAACAGTCTGTTTCATCCGTATAGGAATCATCAGGTGACCACCTGATGATTCCTATACGGATGAAACAGACTGTTGTGGTTTTTTGAGGTAAAACGAAAAACTATATTACGCTCTATTTATATGGTATTGAGTGTTTCGTAAACCAAAAACTTAAGCTATATATATATATATATATATATATACAAGCTGTTATAGGAAGTTTGCTTTGAATTTTAAGTTAACCTAGGATAAAACTAATCGGCTTTTGAACAACCGGCCCCAGGGTATTTCATTGAGTTGTTCGTACATGTCCTTTCATAAGTAGAAAGTCGTTTGTTTTACGGCTCGCTAACTTGTTCGAAGCAATTATATAGCTTGTCAGATGAATCCGATAGAATAGGGCGTTATGCTTGATTTAAATTTGAAAGGCTTTAGCCTATACGTTTTTTTGATACACACTGTATACTGAATTGTTTTTATCTATTATAAATACTGTGATTAAGGGTCACCTATTTTAGAATGTAAAAAACTCATTAATGATGAGGAAAGTACTGTTTAATAAACGAGCAGGAGTGTTTTATTAGGTTTAAAGCCACGAGCGCGGAGCGCGAGTGGCTTTAGACCTAATAAAACACGATCTGCGAGTTTTTTAAACGGCTTCAAACACGACTACAAATATCTGCGAGTTTTTTAAACGGCTTCAAACACGACTACAAATTCAATAGATATACTGCCTAATTAGTAATCTTTATATAAAGAATACTAATGAGGACAAGACTACAATAGATACTGCCTTATTAGTATTCTTTATATAAAGAATACTAATTAGGACAAGACTACAATAGATACTGCCTTATTAGTATTCTTTATATAAAGAATACTAATTAGGAGTGTTTTATCAGGTTTAAAGCCACTGCACGTGACATATTATAGTTGACATGATTTGCCAATAAGCTTATGAATTATTAATGAGTGTTTGAAAGACAATGGAAATCACTGCCATGTCCGTGGTTTTTATTATATGTGGTAAAAAATCTTGTTAATTTACATGAAATTTTCTCGTCTCAGACAACGTTGATATTTAAAATTACTTCGCCAATGAACTCATAAAGATGGATCGTTTTTTAAGCCATTTAAAACACTCGCAGTCCGTACCTTGAAAGATGAAAGACGCTCGGCTGTCGCCTCGTGTTTTATATCTGATAATAAAGCACTCGTGTTTTGAATAATTGATGAAGTTTTGAAATATACATGCAGACGTGCAGAAATACATAAACCAAAATGACAGGTTAAAATGTTGGCCCAGGGTTGGCGCCAATCCACCTTTGAACAACTGGCCCTAAAAGCAGCCAGGATTTTTTTTTGGGGGGGGGGAGGGGCCGGCAACTTGATCATTTGTGAGTCAAACTTTACGCCCATCTACACGATACGACTAGCCGTATACGATTCTTATCCTCTATAATCTGTGTCCTGGCGTATGAAAACGATTGCTGACGCCCCTATTCATGTTCATCAGTTTATGGCGAAGTTTGAAATCAGGCCTTAAAATATCGGTCGGTCACGGACATTGTCCGACGCATTCGTGAAATTGTCCGACGTAGAGAGGAAACCACCGGACATTCTGTCCGACCTAAGTGAAACTGAGGTTTAATGTTTGTCCGACCCGAATGTATTGGTGTCCGACCGAACTGTAGCTTTGTCGCCTTTGTCCATCGTAAATCAAAATGTACCCCATTCCAGAACTAGAGGCTTGTATGTTAAATGGGAAATCAGAGTACTATTGTATAAAGGTGAACTGGAAATGTTGTTTTAACGTAGTCGGGGCGGCGAACGAAATGGTGAAGCGGAAAACGGGCTTGATTTGTCAAAGTCTTTTTTAATACTGCTGTTCTGGAAAGCAAATTAATTTTGGCTTGGAAATAAGTATGAAAGAAACAAATTATTTAATATCTTCATAACACTTAGTGTTCAGAATTATAATAACCTATACTTATTTCGTTCCGAGTCAAAAGTGAACTGAAGGTCATCGGACATATGTCCGACCCAAACTCAACGTCATCGGACATTTTGTCAGACAGCCCTGTAAAAGATATTTTAAGGCCTGTTGAAATGCGACATCTTTACATGCATTTATTCGAGTACATACGCCAGGATAAGAATCGTATACGACTGGCCTTTTAACATGGAAGCGAAACACGTAGGTCAAGTCCACGAAGTTTACTACTGTCTTGACAAAAGGCCACATGCGTAGTAAATATAATATGATTTAACGTGGGTTAAGAATGAAGTTTAAAACTAAAATGAACACGCTGTGACATAGCTGTGTTGCAAATTTCGTTTTGTTTCCATTTTCTAGTTTCAACAATGAAGTCTTGAAGCGTTAACTGCATGCGCGCAAGGTGTTTGACCGTGGCTTGGGGTGATCGCGTGGCGGTGACGAAGTTCAAGCTGTGCTCCTCCTTGTAGACGCTACGATCGAATGAAAGAAACATGTGACGTAATAAGGACCGGACTCCGCGCCTCTGGACTCTGTGCTCCGGACTTTGTGCGCTCTGGACTCCGTGCCTCTGGACTCTGTGTAGTAGTAAGTTCTAGTAGTAAAAATGCATTATTAGTCGATGGGGCCACTTGTGGTGCCCACCGACTCTAGGTTTGCCCTTTGGTAGACCACAAAATGACGAATTACGTCATTTTTTGGGCAAAAAATACCTAATTGGCTTACGAAATAAAAATCAAAATGGCGACCATGGAATAGCGTACAAAAGTTCGCTATTGACTTGTAGTCAATTTTTTGGTCCAGTCGTGTCTTTTCTTTTGGGGTTTTTGAGAATTCACTAAAAGTTATCATGACGTGTCACTGTTATGTTATCGAGAAGGGAAGTGGATAATTTGTATGTAGATTAGTAGATATGACTGCATATTTCCAGCGACTTAACGCTCCGTGGAGCGTCTTGTTATTTTTAAAATTATATAGTATTTAAACACGCTGACCATGATTCGTCCCCGTCCGCAGGGCTCCCGGCCGCGCGCGACCTTCGTCAAGGCTCTGGGATACACGGAACCTGAAGTGCATATGAAAAATTGCAGTAGTTACTAATGCGCACGCTTGTGAATTGATAGCGCTATCTCAAGGCTAGAACGAGAGACACTAGATAAGCATTGCGAAGAAACGAAGTACTGCGGTTCTCTGAGAAGCCAATCAGAACTATCTCTTTGGTCGTTTAATCCATAGCCTAATTTTCCTACCCGTAAGGAATCATGGTAATATTTATCCAGTCAACGGAAGTAAGGGGATCTGCTTAGGGACAAACAAGCGCTCTGTTTATATGCGGAACCGAGTTACTCGGCATTTGCTGCATAATTTAAGTCGTTTGAAACATTATTAAAAAACATTACAAAACGTCGTGAAAATATACAAGAATAAACGCCGAGAAATTCAGGAAAACTAGATTCCATCTCGGGCGGCCGGCCGAGTTACAGGGGCAAAGTGTTTACATGGTAAAATATTCATCTTGCCTGGGCGATATCCGCCTCTTTCTGCCAAGAATTAGCCAATTCGAACCGACTTGACCACGTAGCTCAGTTGGCAGAGCATTGGACTAGTATCCCAAAGGTCGAGGGTTCGATTCCCACCGTGGCCAAGCAAACTTTTCAGCTTGCCCGGTGTGGATGCACACTCAGAGTAACATCACAAACATCATATTCACCTGACTACATAACACCAACTCACACAAAATAATGCTTATAACAGTCACCCGGGACTGATTAATACTGTAAGTTTCTATAATAGCCGGGATCTCGCCCTTAGCCGAGTAACTCGCCTTGCCGGGTAACGCGCCTCCATATAAACAGGCCCTTAGTCGAGCTGTTAAAATTCAACATAATATCCAGCTGCGATTAAGATATTTTGTACGGTTCTAATTTTGGCTATATTTGAAATATTTTGTACGTCAGTTGCCTGTCGAAACTAGACGCTCTTAAGGCTATTTTTCACTCATCGTAAGAGTCCACTCACAAGCTGGCTACGAGTCTCCAGTCACAATGCATGACAGTTTCCTGCGGTGCTTATTGAAATATTGTCCAGTGTTTCAGTTGTCAGACCTCATGACTACAACGTGCGAAATTCTGACATGAGGCTAAATCTTCCTCTTCTAAAAGGGAATATTTAAGAAAGAGTATGGGTTATGAAAGAATTTACCCATTGAACTATTAGAAACGCTGAGAGCTTAGCACGTTTCAATAGGCAATTCCAGCTTTTAATTTATGCGCGCAGGAGGTGATGGGATGTAAGGTATCATCACAATATAATATTGCTGATTATGCTGAAAAATTTCAATAAAAACTGCCGAAAGAACGAAATCTTTCAATATTTACGAGTATAAGCTATCACTCCGTGTTTACACGGCCACCATTTTTATTTTTTCAGCATAATCAGCAATACGATGCCTTACTTCTGCACGAATAAACTAAAAGCTGGAATTGCCTATTCGCTTCTACCTGATGTGATTTTATTTCTGATATACTTATATTTCTAATATAGTAAAAATATACAACAGTCCGGTCGGCCCCTTTGATAGCGCACCAATGCACCCCTCACCCCACCCCACCCCAGGGGAGCACTGATCCGCCCCTCACCCCACGTCAGATGAGAATTGATCCGCCTCTGTAATATACGTTATGTAATTTAAATCTATATCCTTAGGCTTAGCTTTGTAATTTTAAATTTTACACGCCTTCGTTGGAAATCAATTTACATTGAAGGGGTTAGCGTGTTTAAATAGTTACCTTGCCTTGCCTTGTCTTGGCCCTTGCCTTGCCCATTGCCTTGGCCCTTGCCTTGGCCCTTGCCCCTTACCTTGGCCCTTGCCCCTTGCCTTTAATTAGATGCAAAGCATTCGCAGAGAGCTTGCAAGTTAGTTTTTGCGATGAGTGGAAAAGATCCGTGAATGCGTTCCGGAATCCGTTTTCACGATTTCCTGAGTTCGTGTTTTACAAGGCGCTCGCATGAGAGCAAACCATCTGGCTGACTGCGCTGTTTTTGATAACATCCTTTTAAATATGCGTGCTGATATCCACTTAACCGTTCAACACTCGACCTTCTGCCTGCCGATAAAAGCCGGAGAAAACAACGAAAACGTTTCAAAAATCTTCACGATACCTTTTAGAACACAGCATTTAGTATTGCGAATAGGTTTTCACATGTTTTTAATAAGCTTCTAGCAGTTCTTATACTCTGAAACCTTTTATAAAGTTCGTATTTTTTTTCCCCGCCATTGACACGTTGTGTTCGCGAGCAGCGACTTATCTACTCTCTGCATTATACCACTTTGCCTCGCGCTTCCGCTCAACGCCCTGCATCGATGGCCACTCGATGCTAATAATTCAAACAGGATTCCAATTTGTTACGCACTTGCTATTTCATGATTAAAAATAAGGCACTTGATGACGCGTTAATATTCAATTTTCGTTATTAAGCACGTTGAAAAAGCCTATTAAAAGGCTAGTGGGGCTCGCTTAGAACTACGCCGGCGATAAACGCAACCTGCCTGTTCACTAATCAGTCTTTGCATCTAAGCAGCGAGGCGCTAAAGTTTCATCTTTGTCTTTGAATCTAAACAGCCCAAGGTATGTCAAAATTCAGAATTATACTCCTATATATTTTCCTTTTCAATACTGTATATTTATTCTGATAATTTTAATAAGGTAACTTTTAAATAACAATGTTTACTACTTTTCTATAGTGTCACCTTGACTGTTCGAGCCTTCGAAACGCACGCTATCAAGCCTGATAAGGAGAAGCAAGGCCCATTTTGTATTGTACTGAAATGGATGACTTTAACCCACGCGAGCGTTTAATCGGCAAAAGTTTGAGGGCAGAAGAAACCAAGATTTTCTACACGCATAGTTTTGGGAAGGCGCTATACAACTGTTGCAAAATTAGCCCTCCGAATGAGAAGTATTTTCAAGATGTTAGCCACGGGGCCATCCAAAGATGCGTTGCCACGAGCCACAAGGACAAAGGTAAGCGCGGTTATTTAAAAGCAATGTTAAATGTCTGATATACAGTATAGTTATGACTGAAAAGCTGGTGCGTGGAAAATACATAAAGTTAGTGTATATATATATAGTTATATAAATAAATATATATATATAGTTATATGCTGTGATATTGTTCAGTCGGTATAATATATGATAAGACGAAATGTGTTCAAACCACGCAAGCAGTACATTTTGTCTGCTGTGGGTGGGTTTCGAACCCGCGACCTTTGAAACGGCAGCTCTGATAAATGACTATACACGGTCAGCTCCTATAGAGGACTGGAAATTATGAATTATATACTGAATTTAGTAGCTATACATAACAAGATCGATGCATAAACTGCCGTGGTTTGTATCTGAACTACGCTTGAAAAAGAATGGAAAATCGTCGACGTTTGGATCGAAGCCATTCGTCTAATTGCATGTTATCGCCATCATCATATACGACTTTTTCTCGGCAAGCTTTTTTTGCTCCGAGGACCGAACTGACCTATGGAAGCATATACATACTACTATCATGTCTCACACAATATTCGATACTCAATCCTTGTCAGACTGTTGCGAAGGGAAATTCAGTTGAGGAGAGCAAAGTGATCTCAATAAAAATATGCAAAAGTGAATTTCTATTGTATTGGGGTTGAATTTTTCATTCATAAACTGGTCCAATTTTCAGACTATAAAAATAACCAAATTTAATTCAAACCATAAATCGTTTACCTCAGATATAGTTTATATATAGACATCAAATTGATCCCGCGCGTAAGGCATTCGGTATTCAATTTTACCTTTATGCATATACATTGAAGCCCATTCGCTCTTGCAATTTTTGTCGCGATTTCTAGTGGGATTTTCTCCTTCTGATGGATGTGAACGAGTAGATGAGTTACGAATGTTCTGCAAGAGGATATGCATGTACCCTCATCTGGACATTCATAACGAATCCACTCGTTCATATCTATCACAAGAAGAAAATCGCACCTAAGAAACACATTTGTCAACAAGAATAACGGGTCTTATAGGAAGCATTTCGTTGGGTCCAGAAGTCAGTTGACTTGTGTACGAGGCTGTCTGCAGTGAATTATAAATTATTCTTATATAATCTTTATGCTTTAAGGCCAGTTAGACGTGATCAACATGTTGATCCAACGTCATACCTTTTGTATTTTTAAGCTATATTGTTTGTAATTTCAGCTCTCAATTAACGTCATTTACGATTTGAAAATAAGCTTCTATAGTATATATAATTCCGAAGCTCTTGTTAATATAATTTATGGCCTAACTAGTCCGGATCAAGCCTGGCATAGCGCTTCAAACGGAATGCAAACACCGTATATAGGCTTGAAAATGTTTTTGAAGCCAGTAAGGGTTGCAGCTTATAGGCTCTTGTTGATTTGATACTGAAAAATTTCAAAATGTAATATAATTATCATGATCGTGTTTACATAAGTTATAACGCATATTTTTTGCATGGTTAATCAACGTTATTGCATATGCGGTATATATCATACTCAAGGGCGGCTCAATTCGTGACCCTGAGATCGTCATCTTAACGTTTTAAGATCATCGAGTCATGGCCACATGTTATTATCTCGCGTCTAATATCTCGATATATGCAAATGCCATATATATATATATATATGCGATTCTGTTCGTGTGGGTTTCCTATACTACTTGCATACATGGCAAAAGGGCATAATTAGTTCTATCAAGTTAGATGCTCAAAAATCCATGATATTTACCCATGATATTTACATAAAACTTACACTGGCAATCACCTTACAATCGAAATGCTTTATGGTCGTTTTGTCCCCTTGCCCGTTTCGTCCCCTTCACGTTTCGTCCCCACTCGACGAAAATTGGTAGGACTAATTTTGGCGGCATTTTGTATCATATGGCGCTCGTCTAGGGAAGCAAAAATCTTAAGGCCCTGTCACACTATTGCGTGTGAGAGAAACGTATGAGAAGCGTATGAAAATCAATGAAATAATTTTCATAGCACAAAAATCCTTTGAAATGCCAGCGTATGAGTACCGTACATCTGGAGTACCTCTAGCGTATTCAGCGTGTGCCTAGAGTATGCTTATCGTATAAAGCATACGTCCGATATTAATACGCACAAAATTTCTGAACATGCTTAAAAAAAATTTCCTGCCTCGCCGTATGCCATGAGCGTATGCCACCGTATGCGACCGTGCTTGAAACGTATACAACCTATGCCTAACGTAGCCCTAGCGTATGTCAGCGTATACCGGCGTACGAGTGATATTTTTCATACGCTGGCATACGCTAGTACGATACGCAATAGTATGACAGGGCCTTTAGGTTTTGTCCTATATGTTGAAGATTACCACAAACTGACAAAAACACAGTTTTTAATTCAGTCCCCCTCGACGAACTGACATCCATGTTGTCAAAAACATTGCGATCTTAAGCTCACTAATGACAGTCATTCTGTCATTGGTCTAGTTTTCCTCAGACTCAGTTCCAATTAAAATAAAGTAAAGTCAAGTGTCACTATATAATAGTCACTGACAACAGCAATATTAATATTGTGAAATAAAAGCCAAATATTTAAGTTACATTTCAAAGTTTCGGAATTTAAATACAAAAATGTGTATTATCCAGGCATACAATCCACTGAGATACAATCTCAAAAAGTAAGATATATTGTATTAAGGAAGTAGGTTATACAGATAAAACAGTATCTAGTCTGGGGACGAAACGTGAAGGGAACGAAACGGCAAGGGGACGAAACGGCAAGGGGACGAAACGGCAAGGGGACGAAACGACCGGCCCACCGGGGACGAAACGGCAAGGGGACGAAACGACCAGTTACCTTTCTTACAAATCCTTCAAAATTTAGAGTTTACCCATGCAAAATTCCTACTGTGATCACAGAAACTTTGAGTTTCTGCTTATTTTTTAAGGTAGTAATATAACCACTCAGCACAGCATTTTCACATTGGTACTACCTACACTGGTACAGACAGTTTTAGTATATACACAAGACTGAACTGAATATAATAAACCCAGGCACATGCGAGCAATTTTTTCTTGCAAGTCTTTTCATGTAAGACGACTAGTTATGTCAGTTTTTGAACAAAGAAAACTTATTTTATTTGCATGTTCATTTGTACGTCTGACATGAAAATCGTCGTCGTTGCATCGTTCTTGTCGCCAAATAAAACTTTCAAATCAACTTGTCGAGGAAACATTTCTGGATAGGCTCAAGTCAACTTGTCAAGGAAACATTTCTGGAAAGGCTCAAGTCAACTTGTCGAGGAAACATTCCTGGAAAGGCTCAAGTCAACTGGATATCCATTTCTGGATAACATTTCTGGATAACATTTCCGGATAACATTTCTGGATAAACATTTCTGGATAGGCTGGGCTAGTATTCCAAAGGTCGTAGGTTCGATTCCCACCGTGGATAGGCATATTTTTCAAGCTTGCCCGGCATGGATATACACTCAGAGTAACATCGCAAACATCATTTCTGGATAGTTTTCAATAACTTCCACAATGCTCCTTACCTTGTATTTGGCTATTTGTCTATCTTCGTTTTCTTTCTTGTTCCCAGTCTCCTCAATCTCGCCGTCACTCTCTTCATCACTGGAGGAGGCGAGATAAGCCTTGAAGTCCATGTCTAGTATATCATCTTTACTGAAATTTTTCATTGTAGTCTGAACACGGCGAGGATCCGTCTCATCCCATGTCAGTTGAACTGTGGACTGTTGTAAAGCTGTCGTGATGAACCTGAAAAAAAAAATGAGAATTACGAGAACTACATTCTGACTAAGTTCTTTGGGCTTAAGTATTCCAAAGGTCGTAGGTTCGAATCCCACCGTGGCCAGGCATATGTTTTGGGCCTGCCCGGTGTGGATATACACTCAGAGTAACACCACACAAGCAAGTTCTTTGTAAGTTTGCATGGCGATGAAATATATAATAGTTTTGTTTGTGGAAACACCACGTATTTACGGATCGAAAGCTTTGCAGTAATAAATTTACGTGGTGTTTCCACAAAGAAATCTAATATACATTCTGACTAGCTGGCGGATTCCGCGGGCAGCGAAAATTAGGGAGGCGAGATGCGGAAAAGGCCTCAGGCTACATTATTGCCGGTTGTCCCGTTTTCTGTTCTGGAGCGGTTCGAGCAGTGTTCTTGTCAACCATGAAACAACTTACTCAGATGGTTCATAGCTCTCAGCAGAGGGCATTTCAGTCGCTTGTGAAGTGGGTTCACGATCAAATGTCATATCTTCAGGAATAAATCTGAGATCCAAGTGAGACGAGCTTGCTTCGTATTCCATACCATCACATTCTTCGTAAATTTTCTCTCCAGTTTCTAATAAGGAGTGTGAGATGGCCAATATTAAAAATATTAACCCTTTTACAACATACTGACATCAATTAGAGACGTTATAGTTTCGCTTTCGTGGCTTATTGAGGCCCATTTCCGCAGAAAGAAAATTTTGTAAAATGTGATTGGCCAACACAAATTTTACGTCGGAAAAAATTTTGAAGTTGAAAGTTTTCAACTTTTAAAATTTTCAACTTTTAACAATGATATTTTCGGAAATTCTCTGTCCTTGGAAATTTTTCTTGAGTGGAAAGAGTGTTTCCAATTCAAATCTACAAATACCGGTACTCTGATTTTTTCCTGTAGTAACACAGGTCATTAAGGAGTGGCCCTTACTGGACCTCTAGGGAGAACTGTTTAGAAGTGATAGAGCTATGCAGGTAATTTTCGGCTACCTGGAGAATCACACTCGACAACGGCGTAGTAATATTTCAATCGATTCAACTGATATTGACGTAACTTCTCTTTATTATACTCTTCCTCCTGCACGTGAGAAGAAACAAAGATTACTCAGCGAAACATTTTGAAGAAGAGAGGGTTTGATTATTACATGTTCTGTACCTGGTCTTTGCTACCATTATCTTCTTCAACAGAAACAAGTTCTGTCGGTCCAATCTCATCTTCGCGTTCCATTCGTTCCAATCCAAAATCTGATGGATAGATCTAGGAATAATTACATTTCTGTTGTACGATTGTAGTTGCGGTTGTCAGAGCGACCGGGCCTTTCACCTCCGAGATCGTTAACATCATCTATTGTTACTTAAAGTGTGATTGTTGAGTCTGCAAGACTATTGCTTAACTTACTTTGACTGAGTTAATACTTCCACCAGATGGAACAAAGGATTGCAAAAGAACTGTCAAAGAAAATAATGAAGGTCTTTCTAAATTTTATTCAATTTGAAAAGATCCCAAATGCTCTGCCAAAAATGAATTTTGCAGCAAAAGAAAGTTAATTTGTGTTTCTTTTGTTAGATCACCAACAGCTTAGAAATGACTGAGTTTATATAAAAAAAGTTAGTCTACCATACATGTAGATTAAACCTCTTTTCTATGCTAAAGGTCTACACCTACCAAAAAGATCATTCGCAGTAATCTTATCCCAGTCCATATTACAAATGGCCAGTCTCCTGGTCGAGTTTTCGGTTGTTGGCGCATCAGCATCAAAGTCTTGCCAGTTGTCTGCCTCAGATTCAATATTCTAAATGTACATACGTAAAGCTGCACAAGATGGTACATTCCTGCAGCAGACGTCTAACGTGGTTGTTCCAACAAAGCAAGTCTATTCTACCTATGATTTTACAACAAGAAATAGGAAAGCCAGCACTCACACTAATTACATCATTCTCTTCCGATAAAACTTCCAAATCATCTGGTAGTTCATCTTCCATTTCATTTTCTTCCATTTCCCTTCTTCTTTTTCGCTTATCATCTGACGTTGATTTTTCCTTTTTAGTCTTCCTTTTCTTTCGTTTTTTACTTACTACCTTACCATCATCATCAGAATCTGAACTCTCTTCCCTAGATGAATCAACTTTTCATAAACTATGTACACACAAAACCTGCACGAAGTAAGTTTCTGTTTTGATCTGCTTTTGCTTAAACTGATAAATGTTTTAGCTTCTTGATTTACTTCTTTTGAAAAACCTACAACCTTGTAACACCTGCATTATTACTAAATTGATCATAAATTTGCGCGCATATTTCTTCTAGAGATACTCGATTTTGTACATTGAAGCAACTATATTAATAGCAACCTATGGATGAGGGTTATTTTTTGGTGGAATCTGAAATAATTGTTTTATAATCAATGATTTCCTACCTATTTCAAACAGTGAGTTCCTTATTTTTTAAGGTTTTAACCTACCTATTTACAATCTTGTCTTTATTTACTTCTGTTATTTTATCTAAATTTAAAACAAAATAAACACACAATCTTGCTACACCTGAAACTGCAGAATAAGGTACTATTTTGTGCCTGAAACTAAACTAAAATATAACAATACTACATATAAACTAGTAAAGTGAAATAAACAAATTTTCTGTAAACTGAACTATTCATTTAACAAAATTAAATCAAACTAAACAAACTCTAGTTGCTGCTTAATTAACCACATTATAATTAAGGTTTTTCCATTGTGTGCACTAGGTCTTCAAATCCTCGCAGGAACAATATCTGTAAGTGATTTTAATTTTTGCGTGCATTCACACTTATGATCCACAAAGTACAGTAATTATTCAGTGTAGTACACCTACCAACTTCATCAGATAATTCATAAAAATTTGAAAGGTCTTCGTTTGCACTTTCCTTCACTTTACGACCTCGTTTGTCAACAAAATCTATTATTGAAATATGATGTTTTATTACATTTCAACATTTATAACTCACTCTCTTATAAGTTATATAACTCACTCTCTTATATTTCAACCATTTTTTTTATAAGAAACATCCAGTCAATCACAATCATAATATATAATAATCACAAACGATTAGTCAGTATGTCGTAAGTGGCATTTCCTGCATTCAAAGATGTGGTTCCTACCATTCTGATGTGTGACTTTAATTTAACCCTTTAAGTGGCAATGCATGCACCCTGATGCGCCCTACTTTAGTATTTTAGTCAGTCTAATGCCAGACAATCTTACTCATCAAGTGGAGAGTGCTGCCACTCAATGGGTTAACCAAACAAACTGTCCATGAACAGGGGCGTAGGAAGCATCAAAAGATTGGGGGGCACTGGCTTCTAGGGGCACTTTATGGTATTGAAAAGGGCACCTAAAATTTTTTTCCCAGTTGTACCATACCGAGATTGCACGTTTTTGACCAAATTTTTTTAAAAACTTGGAAATTTCCAAACAAAAAAGGCACCTTTGATGTATTTACAGCGACAGTAGCTTGTACAAAAAGGCACTTTTCATCACAAAAAAGGGCACTTTTCATCACAAAAAAGGGCACTTTTAGTCCTTTGAAAACATTTGGGGGGCACGTGCCCCCTGTGCCCCCTGGTTCCTATGCCCTTGCCCATGAATCCTCTTAACCCTTTAAGTGACAATGCATCCTGATGCACCCTACTTTAGTATTTTACTCTGTCTAACGCCAGATGATTTTGCTCGTCAAGTGGAGAGTGCTGCCACTCAATGAGTTAAAAAACTCTTAAAGTTACAATAGACTACATCTGCATCATGTGATGAAACCTAAATTGGGTGCACAAGTTGATTTATTGGCGATCTCAACATACAATATCCATTACAGCATGAAAAGAGGATTACAGTATAAATTTTAACACAGACTCACATTTTGTGTTAAAATTCTCATCATTAAACATCTGCTGGAATCTTGAGTCTATTTTGACTTTTTTCTTCTTGTTTGGTATTTTCTACAAAACACCAAATTTTCTACAGTATTATAATACTGAAATTAAGAGATTTACATATGTAACCAGCAGGTCCAGCCCTCGGAAAACTCAGGTGGGCATACGGCAATGCCAACCTAATTGCCGACCTGCAAAGCGACAATCGTATATTTAAGGATATTGTTACAGATTTCATGAAATTTTGACCACAAATGTTCCAAACTTCATTGCGAAGTTCGCAAGTTTGTTGCGAAGTTCAGAAGTTCATATTGGAATTCACAAGCCAATTTGTAAACAAAGTCCCTGAAGTAAAAGAAGCCAATCAAATGCATAGTTTACAAACTGGTTTGTGAATCTCATGATGAACTTTTGAACTTCGCAACAAACTCCGCATTGAAGTTCGAAACAATTGTGTTCAAAGTTTCGTGAAATCGACTGTAAATCAGAACAGAGAATTCTAATATTTGCATAATCAAAATTTGTTTCAATTGTTTGCAAGCCATGAAGACAACACAGTATTATAAAGCAAAGCATTGGATATACATAAATTTCCTATTTATACTAGCAGCTAGTGAGAGGAATCTAGTCCAGAACAGAGATAGTTAACAAATCACATTTTGGACTGAATTCCTTGCCCACACGTGCTATTAATTTAGTTTTAAGCTGAATTAACGTTGAGTTAAAAATTTCCACTCATGTGCTACATATTTTTCTGATCGCTACTACTAAAGCATTACCTTAAAACGCGGGTCTTTTGCAATGTGTGAAAATCTTTCATCCATCTCCATGTCTTCTAGTTATAGAAACTAAAACAGGTCACAAAAAATCAAAATTAAATACGATTTTTCACAAAATCCACGTTGAAATCAGACGCCATATTGGAAAAGACCTAATATGTCATATTACACAAAGTATCCAGGAATTTAGTTCCCAAACCTCTTGTCGCAAATTCGCGCAGTTAATTGAAACATTTTGCATACTTTCTGATCATTATAATTTTTATGTGAATTTTTTTGTTGGCTTGAAAATTTTTTTTGTTAAATTTTCTTCTAAAACACAAATTTTGCGCGGTTTTCAGTTCACAATATAAATCACACTAGTAATTTTAGATGATTTTTTATCAAAACGTAAATCTGAAAAGGCGCGTACACCCCGCGGGCAGTAATCAGTGAACTATAAAACGCCAAGGATAGATATTTGTTGACAATATGTCAAAGCAAATAGGAGCATGTTTTCATCGAATGTAGTTTATGTGTGCGGTTTGTCGGGCGTCGACTGCAATTCGCCAAAAGTGAAGGGTGTTGAACATTAACCTTCAACAACAAAGCGAAAGACCTTTTAAAACAGCTTGGAAAAATTGCGATCGAGATTTACTGATATTTTGCTACGTCAAGGAAGCGAGCGAGTGTGATTCCAGACATACGATAGCTTTAGAGCTGTCACCGGCCGATCCATACGGGTTGTGCTATAAACGGAACTGCGCGAGCAAGACGTTAATGGTTATACGTTTATTATTCAATCTTTGGTGTATATAAGGATTTCTAGTCAGGCAACGAGAAACCGAAGGTAAGAAAACAGATTGACGTGTATAGATCATATGTAGTCATGGACAGACGTATCTGTGTGTTATGTTACAGTGTTGTAAAGTTAAAATCAAACATCATCGCCTATAGGCTTAGATTTCGGTCTGGCTGAAACCGAATCCTTCATAATGTTGTAAACAGTCGTTCGTAGAAATTGGGCCACGATTTGGGGGTTTTATGATACGGTTATAACATGTTTAAATGACTGTATGGCATGTTAGCTAACACCCGCGGTTAGTACCTGCTACTCGCTACAATTAAATCGGCCATAAAATTTTAAACAAGGGCTGTAAAATTAAACTATAGGTTCACAGTCAATGTCAAATAACTTTAGTATATTTGACGTTTGTCCACAAAGAATAACTTCGATAAATAAACCCACTTGCCATCTATGGGGATTTGGGTTTATGACCATTAATTCACAAATAATACTAAAATGCAATTCTGATTCCAAAGTGGATTTGTTCTCGAACAAACGAGTCTATACTGTATATATCACATGCTTTTTCGATTACGTCTCGTGACCTCCACATACACACGAATTTGTAGCAAATCGAAGTGTAGAGATTATCGAATTGTGACATTGTGAAATCGACAAGTTGCGATTTTGTAAATGTATTGAAATTGACAACAATTACCCTACCGAGGATTTATGTCGAAATTTACATTCGACAGTATACAACGCGATGGACAACCAATGACAATGTAAACAATGAAATCGACTACATCCTTATATAGGTCTGGAAGCTACAAGCTATTTTGTTTACTGAAACTTACAACATTCAGAAATTGACATTTCTTGCCATGCAAAGTGAAATCTACATTTGTTTGGTTTTGCATAAAATATTAAAAATGTATTATCCACTTATAGTGAAATTAAAATGTGTTATTCAAAGTTATTGGAGATTCTGTTTCGATTTGTGATGTTTTCAAATCACCGGTGAACACAGTATGAATTTAACAACTTTTGACTTTGTCAATATTGAAAATTGAAATTGCAACATTCTTTTATCAATTAGCGCAGGCAATTCATATAACGCTTTGTAATATGCTATACTTAATTCGCACACAACATTTTAAATGCAGATCTCAACCTTACAAAGACTGCAAACTACGTTTATTTTATACTGTCAATAGAGATCAAAATTAGGCTATTAATATAGACAGCAAACCGGCTCCATTGCTTTGAAGCTATTGATTCAATTCTATTCAGTAACTCCTATAGAGCTTATACAATGAAATTGACATTTGTATGGCGAAGTCCTGTTCACAGGACGAAGGATTAAATTCGCTTTAAAAGTCCAAAATAGACACAGATATTTAAAGTCTACACGCCATCGAGTTTCTTACATGTTTAATTTCCAACTCTGACATTCTGATATTATAATATGTGCTTTAAAACCATAGTGTTTGTTTATGTCGAAAATATTTTATCCGCTTATGTGTTATCAGTTATAATTTCAATATATCGGTATATTCAATCAGGTACCGGTACTCATTTGTTATTCTGTACGTTCTATAAACTTCTGAAATCCGAACTAGAATAATTTGATAACAAAAAAACAGGTAAAGACATGCAGTGCATGTACTTTTATATATGAATTACACTAGCATTAAACGACAGTATAATCCACATTTATGTCGTTGTTTGGATTAAAGAGAACGTTTCTATAAAATAATTTTAAAATGTTTTCAAAACTAGCTCGATAGTAGCGAAGCAGAACAATTCAAGCAAGCAAATACAAGCGCGATAATTAATTCTTCACACAAACTTAAGACTAAGGTCAATATGTTTTAAATAATCCCACAAATAGATTGTTATATTGAATATTAGCGAACGCTTTGTAAGACATTATAATGAAGCGTCGGCAATTTGAATACGTTTTATTTTGCCTTCTGATGAAACAATGCACCCGGAAATCGTATTAGTATTTCTTTAAGATTTTGAAAAGTGTTCAACACCGCGTTTTTATTGTGTTAGTTTGCGTAACCCTTGTATAACCTTTTTATCGGTGATAATTTCGGTGCAGCACGAATGGAATTTAGTGCGCGAGCCTCGTTCAAACGTTTGATGAAATACGGGCTCGTAATTTGGGCTAGTTCAGAGTAATTTGTCTCTATTTCATGAAATTTGAGAACTTTTGATGTCATTTTGATGTCTAAAATGCACTTTCCGATTGCACTTTTGACAAAAAACACATTTCCTTTTAACACACGTAGGCCGATGTCGATAACCTAACAGATACTGTACTTTGTATGCCCTCTGTATGTACGACGAATTCCGAAAGAGATGAGTTATCAAAAACTACCTTCGAAATTAAACTTTGATATATTTTATAAAACTCTTTCCTAACTCGTGAATTCGTAACCATTTTTGGAGCTGACAAATCGCTGGAAAGGCGTTTCATATTACCAAACAAATAGTCAAATACTCCAGTTCCGCACATTTTGAACTATAAAGACTAAAGTTCTTTACAAGAAATAATTTGTAATTCTGTTTGGCGACAGCAGATATCTAAGATTTCATACTTTTCTGCCTACTTCAGAACTTTTATCCAATTCCCTTTAAAAAAGGAGAGCGCTCGTTTCCTCGCTGACGCGTAAAAACACAAAGCTGATAAATATTTCCTTGTGGTATTAATCTGTTACAAGGAAATTCCGCAAAGGAAATATCGAATTAAAAATGACGAAATCAAAAATTCCCTCGATAAGATTATGGTTTTCGAACGAATGTAAAGTTTATACTTGTTTACAATACTTTTTTTTCATTTCGAAATTGTTCCATTTTGAATCTGGCAGATTTGACAAAAGTGATCATTTCGCAATTAACGGCGCCATCTTGAAATCGCAGTGGATTCTGGTATAGGCATCAATGTACTGGCGTAGTAAAGTTTTGTACACTACCGAAAATTGTGTCAAACAGTTGTGCATGTTAATTAACAAACTTTGAGGTGTTTTAAGATCGTTATAATATAAATTACTCCGAGTATAGGATATTGATTCATATTGAACTAGTGTGTAAAGATAAGATCAGTTATTTTGTGGTGTGCGCAGGCTTTTTGCACCGTATTAAATTTCTGAAATGCGGACATACATTTTGATAGGTTCCAAAGACATGATATCGTATATCATAACAAATTCTTACATCAAGTGGTTGCTGCTGTACGGGTGGGCATGCAGCAACGAGTGTTGATATTATAAAACTATCAAATCTCTGAAGGGGGCACTACAATAACATGTCGTCGAGGTGATATTTTATTACAGGATTTTGGCGAAACACTAGCAAATTCTGAGCAGTTGTGTTCGGGTAATTCAAAAATTGTTTGACATTTTGCTATTTAAATGACCACTCCAGACAACACAAGTAGTTGGACAGGTTAATTAACATCAGGTGTCGCAATTACGCTTGACACTGCTGATGAACCTCTTGTGATTGCATACTTTGATCGCTCAAGGCTTTCGCAAAGCTCGTTTTAAACATGTTCTTAATAAAATCTAGACTTTGCGAATATTCTTATAAGAGACAACATAGGTTGTTATGGAAAAGGGTAGAATGGGAGGACTCAAGTACCATCTAAACTTCATCATTCCAATAATTTCATGTAGAATAAAGCTTTAAAAATTCAATGTTCTTTATCAAACAATCTTTGCACGTAAAAGTTTAGCTTTAAAAACTAAAGTATGCTCGTAATTAGTCCACCATGCCTCAACTACCGCAGTGTTAAAGAGTTTACTGACAGAAATATTACTAAAGTCGTATTTTCAAGATAAGATTAAGAGAATAGATATCTTTTTTGTATTGTCCTTTTTTACGTAGGGGCGCTTCTATGCTAATTCGACAGGCGTGATATTTTACTGATTTTAGTAGCGTACTGTTGTTATATTGTCATTGGCGTTTTAGTGGCGTCAAGTGGAGTCTCGTCAAGTACGAGATAGACTGAGTCAAATCACAAATGTGCCTCGTGAAGTGAAATTATATTGTGACAATTGCAGGAATCGAGACCCTTTCACATGCGACTGAGATTAAATTCTAATTGGTCAGTTAATTTCAATTAAACATCTAATGTTTCTAATTAATCTATTTCAGTGATATTAAATGGTGGAATTAGATGACCAGCACTCCCGATGTCTGTTGAAAATGAACAGATTATTCCGGTGCAGGTGAAATACGTCGAAGTTCAGAGCGCAACTGTTTTGAGAAATGA